TTTTACTTCATGTCAGATTTGCTTTAAATGCTTTGGTTTTTGAGTTAAAAGCCAAAAACTGAATTTTACCCCTATGTTTTATTTTTAGCCATGGCGGCCATCTTGGTTGGTTGACCAGGTCACGCCACACATTTTTAAAACTAGATAACCAAATGATGATTCTGGCCAAGTTTGGTTTAATTTGGCCACGTAGTTTCAGAGGAGAAGATTTTTGTAAAAGATTACTAAGATTTACGAAAAATTGTTAAAAATTGACTATAAAGGGCAATAACTCCTAAAGGGGTCAACTGACCATTTCAGTCATGTTGACTTATTTGTTAAACTTACTTTGCTGAACATTATTGCTGTTTACAGTTTATCTCTATCTATAATAATATTCAAGATAATAACCAAAAACAGCAAAATTTCCTTAAAATTACCAATTCAGGGGCAGCAACCCAACAACAGGTTGTTCGATTCATCTGAAAATTTCAGGGCAGATAGATCTTGACCTGATAAACAATTTTACTTCATGTCAGATTTGCTTTAAATGCTTTGGTTTTTGAGTTAAAAGCCAAAAACTGAATTTTACCCCTATGTTCTATTTTTAGCCATGGCGGCCATCTTGGTTGGTTGACCAGGTCACGCCACACATTTTTTAAACTAGATACCCCAATGATGATTGTGGCCAAGTTTGGTTTAGTTTGGCCCAGTTGTTTCAGAGGAGAAGATTTTTGTAAAAGATAACTAAGATTTACGAAAAATGGTTAAAAATTGACTATAAAGGGCAATTACTCCTAAAGGGGTGAACTGACCATTTCGGTTATATTGACTTATTTGTAAATCTTACTTTGCTGAACATTATTGCTGTTTACAGTTTATCTCTATCTATAATAATATTCAAGATAATAACCAAAAACAGCAAAATTTCCTTAAAATTACCAATTCAGGGGCAGCAACCCAATAACGGGTTGTCCGATTCATCTGAAAATTTCAGGGCAGATAGATCTTGACCTGATGAACAATTTTACCCCATGTCAGATTTGCTCTTAATGCTTTGGTTTTTGAGTTATAAGCTAAAAACTGCATTTTACCCCTATGTTCTATTTTTAGCCGTGGCGGCCATCTTGGTTGGTTGACCAGGTCACGCCACACATTTTTAAAACTAGATAACCAAATGATGATTGTGGCCAAGTTTGGTTAAATTTGGCCCAGTAGTTTCAGAGGAGAAGATTTTTGTAAAAGTTTACGGACGACGGACGCAGGACGACGGACGCGGACGCAAAGTGATGAGAAAAGCTCACTTGACCTTTCAGGTCAGGTGAGCTAATAATAATAATAATTATAATAATAACGAGCATTGTATATAAGTTTCATAACATTTGGTTGAGGCAAACTTAAGTTAGAGAACGGAAACTTAAAACTTTTGCAATTTTTCCATTTATAAAGGGGCATAACTCTAGAACGGTTAAAGTGACGGCACCAAAATTCAAACTTGATCTGTGTTTTGTGGTAATTAGCATTGTGTATAAGTTTCATGACATTTTGTTGAGGCAAACTCAAGTTAGAGAATGGAAACCAATTTTGGGACGTACAGAGACGGACAAGGGTAAAACTTAATGCCCCCACCACTACGGCGGGGGCATAATAATCAGAAGAAATACAGTAAGGTCTTTCCCTTTTGGAAAAGGAAAGACCTTAACAAGAATGTGTCCATAGTACACGGATGCCCCACTAGCACTATCATTTTCTATGTTCAGTGGACCGTGAAATTGGGGTCAAAACTCTAATTTGGCATTAAAATTAGAAAGATCTTATCATAGGGAACTTGTGTACCAAGTTTCAAGTTGATTGGACTTCAACTTCATCAAAAACTACCTTGATCAAAAACTTTAACCTGAAGCGGGACAGACGGACAAATGAACAGACGAACGAACAGACAAACGGACAAACAGACGCACAGACCGAAAAACAAAATGCCCATAAATGGGGCATAAATATTACAACTAGACAGTAAAGTGCAGGGATGTCCCTATGTAGTATAGATACAATGAATAAGCGTTGATTCTTGAAAAAGAAACCATGAGCCAAGGGCGAATGGTTTGTTTTTCATGAATCAACGCTTATTCATTGTATCTATAACTTAAACTATTGTGTTGATGTCCTTTTCAAAACTAAAGCCTTTTCTTAATAAGAAGGTATTGTAAGTGAGTTTAATTAACCACGTTATCATGTTCAATGATGCATTAATAAATTTATGTTCACAATTAATTGGTTAGAGAAATATAAATATAATATAACACGTCTGTCTTCAAATTATCAGGCATCTGAATATTATCCGTATTTTACAAAATAAGACATATTCAAACTTATTTCTAAGTACATGTATATATAATAAGTATGTTACCGAAAATACTAGCAAGAAGCCTAATTCTAGGCACATCATGCTTAAAATTTTTTTACTCGCATTGGGATTTGCGAATAAATATTTGGAAAAGTATGTAGTAAAACAGATGAAATCATACTATATTTATAAAACAAAAATGGACAAACTGAATGTAATCATTTTCATTTCAAATATGTGTAATAGGCAATAATAATCCAAAAATAAACGGGAAAACACGTTATTACTACAAAAAATATCCACAATAACATACAAAACAAGCATTCTTAGAGTACTGCATGGCAATACATAGTCCCCTACCGGGTAAAAATTCATTATACTGGAAAAAAATGCTTACTTGTTCTATAACTTGTCATGGTGTAAACAAAAAGAAAATATCAAGTCAATATCTTCAAGCATGACTAAAAACAGTGTGGAAAACTGAATATATGAGTGAATTTTTTCAAGTCCAAGGACCATAACTCTGCACAAAATTATCAGACTGAAACAAAAATTTGAACTTGATCTGTAACTTGTCATGATAAAACTATATACCAATTGTCAATCAATTTCTTGAAGCATGATGAAAAAAAGTGTGGAAAACCTATAACACTCTAACATTAGATATGATTAATAGTTCTCTAAAATTAGATATGATGTAATACAATGTATATCTATTTTCAAATTAAAATCAAATATAATTAATAGTTCCAAATATTTTTTCTTTCATTTGTCACAAACTAATATAGATTTGTAACTTATCTATAAATTGTCAACAACTTTTAACTACACAATGTAATGTAATGAAATATATACCTTAATAAAAATAGATTATTATCTAATTAAAGGATTTCACTTAATAAAAAAAAAAAAATATATATATACATGTAGCATTCAGAAAATTAGTTTATACAAAATAACATATAAACCTGCCACAAAATTCAATTTACCAAAGAATGTCTTTTAAAAAATGAGTTATCTCCCTTTGTACAGATATATGGTTTAACATAGTTCTCTAACATTAGTCATGGAGTTTTTTTATGGACCATAACTCTGGACTTAATCATCAGACCGGAACAAAATTCGAACTTGATCTATAACTTGTCATGATAAAACTATATACCAATCAAATCAATATCTTCAAGAACGAAGAAAAAAAGTGTGGAAAACTGAGTTGCCGGACTGACGGATGGACAGACGGACAGACAGACAGAGTGCAAACCTAAAGTCCCCTTCGACTTCTTCGGTAGGGGACTAATAAAATAAACGAAATAACTAAAGGGACAACAAAGAGATACAGGGATTCGAACCTAAACCGACAAGTCTCTTTAACTCGTTGATCTTAACCTTGCTAACCTTGCGGCTACCAACTTATACTATACGATTGCCTACTATGTATATATAAAGGTACCAGCCCTGTGTGTCCCTTGTACCGATGTGTATCACATGTTCATTTATATATATAAAATAGACATCTTAATTGCAACCCATTGGTAGCCGAGAGGTTTCGTCGATGTGTTGATGTCATTCACACATAACAGATTTCAAGAAGGGGTTCGACTCCCAGTGAAGGCATATAAAAATTACAAAAGTTAAAGGTAAGTTTTTAAATTAATTCCGTTAGTGAACAGAAATCAGTAAATTAACCAATTCAAACTTAATGAAATTAGGCACACAAAGGAAACTATTATAGATAATTTGGTGAGTCCATTTCAGCGACAGATTTAGGAAGCGTTGATTCTAGAAAAAGAATCCACGGTAAATGAATAGGCTGACGTCACGACAATGGTTTAAGATGTCATAAACATGTCAATATTAACACATTAGTCCTAAAATGTAAGTTAGATATGTGTCAAAGCCTTACCTTAATAAAACAGATACTTTACCCTCATTAATATTTTTGACTTAGACATCTTGTAGTAAAGAATCTTTTTGAGCACACCCTTTGCTCACATCTAATTACTCGTAACAAGATCTCAAAGTGAAGCTATCTTGGCAGTTACCAAATGCATAAATACAGATATCTGACAGAGTAATGTCTTATGAGCATATTAAAGCATGTTATTTGATAGATTTATAATACTTTTTTTCAGTTTTGAATTAAAAGTCGCAAAAAAGTAGCTTTTCATACCTTCAACTTTGAGACAAATGAATTTCCAATCAACTAGCATTCTGTTACTGCAAGTCCTTTTAGATTTATACTTTATTTTTTGTCTTTTTGTTAACTGTTTTTAATGCTAAGAACCAAAATGATGAGCCAAGCCCTTTCCAACTAATATTTAATTGGTTTTATTGTTGCACTGCTACACCATTGCATTAGGTTCAGGGAGAGTTGAGCAATCACATACATGTTTTACCCTACCACCCTTCTTACGTGCATGTTCCAAGCCAGGAGCCTGTAGTAGTTATTGTAACTGCCATGTTTTATGGTTCAACGTTATGCTTAAACCAGGCCATTGGTTTTCTCTTTTGCATTTTTAACATTTTGTTATCCTGTGTCCTTTAATAGTTTACTATACAGTATGAGTTTCATCAATTGTTGAAGGCTGTACAGTGACAGGTAAAGTTATTACCATCTTTGTCTTTTTGTCTTTGGTTTTCTTATGTATGTGCTCTTTTTTATCAACAACAATTTTACCTGAATTATCAAAGCCATCATCTGTCTTTGATTTTTTTAATTCTTCTTGTGTGAATGGTCTCATAATTACATGTAGGGCACTCTCGGATAAAGACTTGTAGTGTGACAGGAAATCTTCTGTAATAAAAATATTCAAACTTAATGATTAATTGAATCAACTCATTGCTTATGTTATGAAAGGCAAAGTTTGAATATTGTTTCAGTCAAAACTAGTACAAATATGTGTTGCTTAAAATCTGGAATATTTCTTAGGGGATTTTCTGGGGCATTATGCTACTTATTTGATTGCTTGAACTATCATTTGCTTGACAACCAGTAGCAAATATTTCATGCATATTCAGAACTAGAATAAATTAACAATAAATCCAACAGGTAGGTTCTGCATAGCGGGTTGACAAGGGTGAAGGGCAGACATTTTGACTGGAAAATGAGAGTATGTTGGATAAGTTAACTCTCACCACATGATCTTTTACAACAATGACAACTAACATTTAACAACAAACAGATGTGCTCATATTATCTGGAACTTTTCTGTTTGTTGTTGTTTTTATTGTTTTTAATAAGAAACAAGGTAAAGTTTGACTGAACTGGGCCTGGATTGAAAAAAATGTGTTATACTATGATTTAGGATAAACTATTTTACCCACCCTAACCTAATATCCTATCATCATTTCAATTACTTACAATAATTAATTGGTTAACAATTAACTGATAGTTTCACCTGTTTACCTAAACCAGAACCATCTATCCAACTTTTAAAAGTTGTTTTTTTATGCATTTAAAAAGTTATGCAACAAGATTATTTAAGAATAATATAATAAATTTTTAGTCAAATCAATATCAAAACCATTTCAATATGTTTAAAATTTGTACAAGATAACAGGGAACAATGATTCTCTCCTGCTACTGCTGCTGTCACTGTAAAAGTGTATTATGAAGGTTGCTAAAAAAATTTAAAAATACATGTAGATCAAAGACTCAAATGGCTGCGTTACGCAGAATGTTTCTTAAACAATGGAGAATGCTCTATACTGAACATTTAAATATTTGAAATATGAAATGAAAAATTCCTCAAATCCATAAAGGCATTCTTCCTGTGAAGTTTCAGGGATATGGATTTTAAACTGTAGGAGGAGTTGATTACACAAAACTTGTACCCTCTTGCATAAATTTTGCTGAAAAGTGACTAATGGAAAAGAAAGGATGACACAAAATCAGTATATGCACAGCAAAAAAAACAAAAAGCAAAGGAACAGTCATGACAGTGCTATTATAGCTGTTCTTCATCTAGAAGTCACAGTGAGGACTTCAACACAGAGCAAAAAAACTCTCACCTTAAAATTTTGCTGAAAAAAGAGAAAAAATTCCTAAAACAAATACTTAATAGCAGGTACACAACTTCAAAAAATGTGCAATTTTCTTTTAGAGTTTCAGGGATCTGGTTTGAAATCTGAGGAGTTGATTACAAAAATTAGGTAGTTAAGACCGTTTTGTGATTATAAGCATTGTGTATAAGTTTTATAACATTTGGTCGAGGCAAACTAAAGTCAGAGAACAGAAATGAATAAAATGCTCCGCAGGGCGCAGCTTGATACGACCGCAGAGGTCGAACCCTGAACAGTTGGGGCAAGTATGGACACAACATTCAAGCTTTATACAGCTCTGAATTTGGATTGTGATTAAATATTTGACACAGCATAGGTTTCTGACACAGAATGAATGTGGTCTAAGAACTTAAAAATTTTAAATTGGACATTCACCTATTATGGTCCAATATCCAAAATCTAAATACATGGTTAGATTCAGCATATCAAAGAACCCCAAGAATTCAATTTTTGATGAAATCAAACAAAGTTAAATTTTGGACCCTTTTGATCTCAATGTGGACAAAGTTGATAACGGGGCCCAAAAATCAAAAATCTAAATACATGGTAAGATTCAGCATATCAAAGAACCCAATATATTCAATTTTTGATGAAATCAAACAAAGTTTAATTTTGGACCCCGATTTGGACCAACTTGAAAACTGGGCCCATAATCAAAAATCTAAATACATGTTTAGATTCAGCATATCAAAGAACCCTAAAAATTCAATTTTTTTAAAAATCAAACTACGGTAAGTTTAATTTTGGACCCTTTGGACCTTTATGTAGACCAATTTGAAACCGGAACCAAAAATTAAGAATCTAAATACACGGTTTGATTCGGCATATCAAAGAACCCCAATAATTCAATTTTTGATGAAATCAAACAAACTTAAATTTTGGACCCTTTGGACCTCAATGTGGACCAATTTAAAAACGGGGCCCAAAATCCAAAAACTTAATACACGGTTAGATTCATCATATTAAAGAACCCCAAGAATTCAAGAATAAAACCCCATTGAAATTGATCAAGAAATAAGCAATTTATACGAAGTATCTTCTTTTGCACAATACTGTGCAATTGAATATTTCTTGCTATTGCACAATACTGTACAATTGACAATTTCTTGCTATTGCGCAATATTGTGCTATTGGATATTTCTTGCTATTGGGCAATACTGTGCAATTGAAGATTTCTTGCTATTGCGCAATACTGTGCAATTGAAGATTTCTGCTATTGTGCAATACTGTGCAATTGAAAATTTCTTGTTATTGCACAATACTTATTATTTAATAATTTAAACATCCTGTTTGGTGTGTATCTCCTACCATATCATTATTATTTGCTTTTAAATATAAATCAGAAATAACCAACTTAAAATGGAAAATTTTAAAAGAAAAAAAAAAGAAAAAAAAAAAATCCCCCCCCCCAAATTTTTTGAACCCCCTTATGATTCATCACCCCCAAACTCAATCCCAGCCTTCCCTTTGTGGTATGGTACCTTGCAGTACAATTTCAGAGAGATCCATACACTTGAACACAAGTTATTGTCTGGAAACTAGAAAAATGCTTATTTTTGGCCCCTTTTTGGCCCCCAATCCCTAAACGTTTTGGGCAATTACCCCAAAACTCAATTCCAGCTTTCCCTTTGTGATATGGAACCTTGTAGTACAATTTCAGAAATATCCCAACACTTACACACAAGTTATTGTCATGAAACTAGAAAAATGCTTGTTTTTTGCCCCTTTTTTTGGCCCCTAATTCCTAAAATTTTGAGGCAATTACCCCCAAAATCAATTACAGCCTTCCCTTTGTGATAAGGAACCTTGTGGTACAATGTCAGAGAGATCCATACACTTACACACAAGTTATTGTCTGGAAGTTACAAAAATGCTTATTTTTGGCCCCTTTTTGGCCCCTAATTCCTTAACTGTTGGTACCATAACCCCCAAAATCAATCCCAACCTTCCTTTTGTGGTATTGAACCTTATGGTAAAATTTCATGGAGATCTATTCACTTAAACTAAAGTTAGAGTGCGAAAACCAATGTGTCTTCGGACGACGCCAGACGACGACGACGACGCCAACGTCATACCAATATACGACCAAAAAATTTTTAATTTTCGCGGTCGTATAAAAATTCAGCAATTTTTATGTTTATAAAGGGGCATAACTCATGAACGGTAAAAGTGACACCATCCAATTTTGAAATGGATCTGTGTTGTTTTGTGGTAATAAGCATTGTTTATAAGTTTTATAACATTTGGTTGAGGCAAACTAAAGTAAGGCAACGGAAACGAAAAATTCTGCAATTTTTATGTTTATAAAGGAGCATAACTCATGAATGGTAAAAGTGACGTCACCCAATTTCGAACTTGATCTGTATTTTGTGGTAACGGAAACCAATTATGGGGACGTATGAATAAAAGTACTTTCAAAGTATTAGTTTCATTTTAAAGCAATGAAGGGCCATAACTCCTGAAAAGCAAAAGTGAAAATTGTCAATAACAAACTTGACCATCATTTTTTTCATAAGTTATCATATGTTAAAAAAAAAATGAAAAACAGTGGTTGACCAGTCCATGAGTTATTGTAGCCAGATTCAGTCAAAAAAACAAGTTAAAAATAAATTGCTTCGCCGAGCGCAGCTGGATACGACCACAGAGGTCCAACCCTGAACAGTTGGGGCAAAAATGGACACAATATTCACGCTTGATACAGGTCTGAATTTGGATTGTAATTCAACGTTTGACACATAATAGGTTTCTGACACAGAATAACTGTAGTCAAAGAACTTAGAATTGGTTACATGATTTGAATTTATATCCCCTTCTTTATCAAAATTTTTGTTTAATATACGACTGCAAAATTTTTTGTGGTCGTATAAAAACCACTGTGTTATTGCTTTATTATTTAGCTTATATTCAAGTTTTGAAAGTGTGACAAAATTATTCTAGTTTTAAAACCTTAAACCACCGACTGTATCTAAATTTTTACTGTAAACAAAAACTGGAGCTGTCTGCATAGCAGGACAAATACCCCTATACATGCATTTTAGTTGCTGCTGTGAAATTCAGTATTGAGGCAATGATGTTTTGAGATTTTTGGTTTTCAGCTATTTATTTCATATAATCATTGTCTCTGTGTTAGACTGACACACTTTTATTCAGAGTGACCTGACACTGATATATGAAACACCACCATCCCATGATGTATCAGCATACCAAGTTTGGTTAACTTAAATTTTACGGTACAAAAAATATGAGCCTGGAACCAATTGGATAAGGTTTTACTATCATAGGAGTCAAGGTCAGAGTGACATGACTTTGGTATATGACACACCCAAGCCCATGATGCAACTACAAACCAAATTTGGTTAACCAAAGTTTTACAGTACTAAAGTTAAGCACCGGACAAAAAGAGGGACGGACGGATGGACAAACAGACAGACAGAAGGACACGGTAATTCCTATATACCCCCCAAACTATTTTTGCAGGGGGTATAAAAATGTGGCAATTTGTTAGTAATAAAAGGGACTAGATATTCTAAATAGCCTGCGTTGTTCACCTTGATCCATGTGCATCTTCAACAACTGCCAATTTCCAACATTGTAAATATAATTCATGATTTAAATCTTTTTTTGTTGATCTTGAATGGCTAAAAAAATTATGTTTACAATTTCTAAAATGTTTCCCGGAAATGCAATAAAATGCTTGGCTGAGTGCAGCCTGATAGGACCGCAGAGGTCGAA